TAATTTAGGTTCAATTGCTAGGATGATATTATTGTTGCTGAATTATTTTTATTTTACCAGTTGAAGTTGGCCGAACCACTTAGCGATATATGACCTTTGTTGTAATATGACCCGGGGTTCAAGTTTGTTTCTAGATAAATTCCAACCTTTTATGCCTTATCTTCGGTTCTATCCTCTGTAGCACGGACACTTTAACTAGGGTAGCGTGTTCATGTCCGATACCGACACTCCTTGAACACTCTACCTTAATATTTTCCCTTTTTATTAAAAATATTATATATTTTTAACTCAAAATTATTAGTAAATAACAAATATGTACTCATATTTGAAAAATTTCAACTAGAAAAATTAGTAACAAGTATAAAACTAAATTTATACTATATAAATAAAGAATTTTAAACAGTTTAATCAACTTGTCATGCCAGTACTTTGTTGAAAAATTGCATGTTAACGATACGTGTCGGACACACTTTTCTCAGTTGTTTGTGCCGGTGTATCATAGGTTCTACCCATATCTTATAGATGGGCAGAAGGAGAAATTATGCCTAGTTCTATTACATTTGAACAAGTAATATATTGCAGCTGAAACCTAGTTCTAAGGATAAGAATTTATTGAACTTCTCTGCTATATCTTTTGCTTCTAGTTTGGCCTTGCTCCAAAGTATTTTTGTTCAAAGCCAGTAACTAGTAGATGCCATTCTCGTGACAGGCTGTTATGTTGACCAAATTTGACTACAGACTTGCAAATAAGCTGGAGACCGATTTGCAAAAGCTTAGGTGCAGAGTCAACTACCATGCACTGAAGTTCACTGACCCTATCCTTGAAATGGGTGCGAAGTTAGTTCAGCGAATGAGGATGAATACTAAGCATTATATTGCTCTTCATCTGAGGTACTGAAATGAAATTTTATGTTTTTCTGATTTCTAGTTCTCTCCATCCGCTTCTTTTCTTATCTATAAGCAAGACAGTGTTATTGTTGGTGCATGTCAAAAACTGGTATGATTTTATCAGGATTCTTTTATTGAACTCATCTTATAGCACTGCTGTCTGCAAGTTGTCTGTTCTCATTCGCAGGCTGCTAGTTGACAAGATCTTAAATCTTAATAGTGATTTTGGTGAAATATGACATGAATCGATAGGATGTTATGTCTTGAATTCTTGATCTCTTTGTCTATGTCAACCTTTTAGTTCTTTAGGTTCTTACATGTTTTGCTGTTAGATAATTTGTGGTAACACGGAGTTCGTTCAAACTTCCTTTTTTAATGCATTTTATATGTTCATTCTTGCTATCAAGAGGAGAGAGTATCCTCATGTTAGAATGCTTGCTCTTTACAGGTTTGAACCTGATATGCTTGCATTCTCAGGATGCTATTATGGAGGAGGAGACAAGGAAAAGATAGAACTTGGTAAAATTCGGAGGAGGTGGAAAACATTACATGTAAGCCTTCACATTTTAGTATTTAGTTCAATATGTTGAAAACCTAAATAGGAAGTCTTGACGATGATATTTATTTGGAAAACCATGACTGGTTGACAATGTAGGTTGTATTTGTTCCACTTTTAACCTTCACAATTTCTTGTAGGGCTTTACCTTTTTCCTCTCCAGTATTTCATTGTTGTGGAAGGAGGGAGGGGGAGTATTTGGTTCTGTATTCCAATTCTGGACATTATATGTTTAAGATATTCATTTATGGGAAGATTTTCAAGGTGTTCGTGTAAATAGTTGAGACTACCAAGAAAATGACCGTAACTGTGTAGTCAAAGTTAAGAGTCATCCAAAATGAAGTCTGCTTCTGATTCCACATAGAAATTCGAATTATATTTTATCAAGTTACAGAGCAGATATTGTGTCTGTTTCCTTATGTGTAAGCAGAGGAAACAAAACCATTTCTAGTTTTCAATTGCTCGTAGAAACTTGATGTTGACAGCAAATATGAAGCATAGCTAAGATCTATTGTTGATTAATTTACAGATCAGTAATCCAGATAAGGGGAGGAGGCAAGGAAGATGCCCTCTTACTCCTGAGGAAGTAGGCCTGATGCTGAGAGCACTTGGTTATGGTAGAGATACTCATATTTATGTGGCATCTGGAGAAGTCTATGGAGGGGAAGAGACGTTAGCCCCATTAAAGGCACATTTCCCCAACTTCTATTCAAAAGAAACTATATCCAGAAAGCAAGAGTTGGAACCTTTTTCTGCCTTTTCTTCCCGTATGGCTGCCCTAGATTTTATAGTGTGTGATGAAAGTGATGTATTTGTTACCAATAACAATGGTAATATGGCAAAAATATTAGCAGGACGCAGGTATGCTTGATTTATATACAAAACATCTTGTAGAATTTGTTGTCTTGAGTGCTCACTAATGTATCTATACCTCTTGATTACAGGAGATACTTTGGACACAAACCTACCATCCGCCCTAATGCCAAGAACCTGTACAGGCTGTTCTTAAACAGAAATAACACGACTTGGGGAGAGTTTGCCTCTAAAGTTCGTACGTTTCAAAAAGGTTTCATGGGAAAGCCAAGAGAGGTAAGACCAGGCAGGGGTGAGTTTCATGAAAACCCATCTTCCTGCATTTGTGAAGATTCTAACGCCATAGCAAAGATGGATATGGGTCTGCTAAAGCGCGGAAAGGGATATATCACCACTAAGAATGACACAGATACAACGTCTGAAAGTCAAAATATGGGTGATGACCCGGACTGGTCTGATCCTGAAGACGATGAAGATCTAAGTAATGAGCAAGGAAAAGTTTTGTATAATCAAACAAGTTTGGACTATGATGCTTTGATGTCTGAAGAACCTGAGTTGGACGAGTTGCTTTCAGATTGAATGAAGATTCTTGGCATGTACAGAGATTTTATTCTTGCTGAATTTTGGCTTATGCTTGTAAGTAAGTCAAAACTTCTAAGTTATTTTGCCAAACATGGTTTTCAAAGTTACTTTTAAACCTTTCCAGAAAAGTAACTTTGAATCAGGCCAAACATGCAATATCTGCCGGAATTTGCTTTTTTCTTCTCAGAGTTTCGGTATCAGGAGCTCCCGAAGACTGAACTCTGGCTCGAGTCGAAAGGCAATCTTTGATGAACATGAAGATGGATTTTGTAACTGAGGTTGTTACTAATAGAACATAGCAAAAATGTATTGGAAACTCGTGCAGCCAGTTTGATTACTTAGTAGTGAGACTTGGACACTTCTTGTTTTGAGATGGTTTTGTATAGTTCTCTGTTTTAAGGGTTTATTGACAGAAGGTTTGTTTCCTGTCAGAGGGCAGAGAACCCTTGAATTTATATGTAGAATTAAATATAGGTTTTTTGGAGGACTGTGTAAATTATTTTATTTATAACTCAAGAATTGAAATGCTTTTCCATTATTATATCATAATATTAGATAGTGTAAGTTATAAATTTTATCTTTTTATTTTCTTTTGTCTGAAATTTTGTTACAATCGCATCTAATATTAACGACCAAATGTACTTTAGAAGAGAAGTACTTGGTGTACAGACAGGGGCTATCGACACCTCACAATGTGGGGTTAATTTTTGGCCATTTTTTATTTTGGTCGAGCCAAGTGTTAT